GAAACCTCAACAGACATTTAAGTAGACCTTGCTGATACTTGCTGATACTGTTCATTAGATAGCAGTAGGGCACAAGTACACCAATAAATAGTTACAGCTTTGATTGATAATCCCTATCAGTAGCAAACTGCAAATCATTTAGGCTAGGGAGGGGGAACTAGCAGCTGGGGTGCCAATATAACTTGAACTTATGTCAGATAACCTGGTAATAACCTGAAAAAAAAAAAAAAAATCACATTGTTTGACCCTGTATCATTACTGGCTATGATTAAGGTGTGCTTTAATGTGTGACTCACCAGAAGCATTTGAAAGGCATGCTCAGCCCTCACTACAGGGGAGGTTTCCCATTCCTAAATTAGATGACAGTGACAGTTTTGACTCTGCCTTTTATCCTAAGCTAGTCTCTCTGAGGAATAGTATTGATCCCTATAAGTATTTATGAGAAGTTCAGTGCCATCTGAGCGGCACATGCATTACTGAGTAGAAATCTGCGGTTAGATCTTTGAGGTGAAGATAATCCTAAATGCTCTAAACATTGAGGTCAAGTAATTTTCATTATGTGCTTTGTTTATGTTGTCAATATGTGAATTTAACAGCAGTTAACACGGATGAAAGTTCAGCTAAGGAAGTGGACTCAGTCCCCTGGACTAACTTGAGCTGTTCCCTTGCAATCACAGTAATCATGGGGCCTAGAGGGGCTCTGAGCCATCTTCACTGACCCCGACAGACCTCGTCCTCAGCAAGAGTCCTGAAAGGCTGTTCACAAACACTGCCTTGGCAGTCAGCTGCCTTCACTAAGTACCCCTTTTGGCAGGACTTGAATATTCACACTGGGAGTCTGGGTAAGGGAACAGCACAGTAGCTACTACAGTGGCTGTATCACCATCATGATGCAGTGACAAATAAACAGCGTAGAATAATATTCATATGCCAGTGTCCAAAAGGCCATCACATGTGCAAGCCTGAGGTTAGCTGAAGCCTTCAAAGATTTTAACCACTCCATTTCTGGAAAGGAGAGAGGGACTGATGATGGCAAGAAAGTTTCTAGTGGTGGAGAAAGCTTTTAATTGGGAACCATAAAGCCTTTAAAATGCAGAAGGTAAATACTAGAACAAACCAAAGTTGTGGCGTTTGTTTGTGTGGTTTTATGAAGCCACGCTCTGGGGGCTTGATTCATGGGTATTGAACATCTGGGGTTTGGTTTGCTGAGAGTGGAGTTTCATTTCTGTGCTAGTCTTCACACTGACACTTTTTTTTTTTTTTTAGCATGCTATTTTTTTGCCTTTTGAATGCCAGTAGTAGACTGAACATAACCATCTCTGACTCTGAGAAAAAGATTTAAGAGGGAAAACTCACTTAACTCAGAGTCTCTCAGCCAAAATCCTGGAGTGAGTAAGCAACAGGAACTCTGAGGAAGCTGAAATAAAACATGAAATCTTTACACTGCCGAAATTTGTGCTTTAAAAACTAAATATAGGATTGAAAAAGTTCTTGAACTGAATTAGGACTGAGGCTATTTTTACTTATTTTTAAGAAGAGAGGAAACAGAGCATTTTAAATAAACTGCCAGTTTTGCACAATTAAATCCCAAATTAGAATTGGCCATGAATAGCATCAGAAGATACTCTGCTGTAAAGACAGAGAGAGAATTCAGAATGTAGACCTTCCCGTGGAGAGGATAAAGGCAGAATTTTCTAATGTATTATTTAACGCTTGTTATGTAGTGCATTAAGCAGTTACTGAGAGGAAAGCTTTTAAAAACCAACAGCCTCTCTGATAGCATTAAATCTTACCTTAGATTTTTGGTTAAGTCAATATTAAGAAAATAAACAAATTAATACATTTCAGTCTGCCCCGATTTATAGACACCAATCAAGTTACAATGCTGGACATGGCCAACCGAAAGAGAGGAATAGATTTACCTGAGTGAGGTCTTAATTTAATCAGCTGGCCCCAGAGAGCTGAAGTCAGCAGGCTGGGGTGATATAAGAGGCAGCAGAGAAATAGTGCCTTTACTGCAGTCGAAAAGGAGAATGACAGTGATGGAAAGGAGTCTAGGCAGTGTCAGAACACACTTATTTCCATGATTTATTCTTAATTTACTTTAATGACAGTCTGAAGGTTGTCCATTTTTCTTTAAGTGTCCTCAGAATACTGATATTTTCTAAACATTTAGAGCATGCTTTTTCTCCCCCTCATTTTCGTTAGCTCCATTGCAAGTTGGAATTGAAGAGGCCCTATGTCCACATTTTGCCCTAATGAATTTTGAGCGCAGTCGCAGATTACCCTTTTCCCACTGCATAGCTTGCCAGCCAGTGTCCCTTCTCTGTGGTCACCCTTGAGTCAGGTCTAGGAATCACACATTCCTCTGGGATTAATGTTGATTTTATGATAAAATGGAGGAATTCATTGCATTTCTTTTACAGTTTATACTGGCAAAAGAACAATGTGTGCTTTCCCAATATAATAGTTCATTTTTATTATCAAGTGAGTTTATTGATAGTTGTTCAGAACTACTGACATGCAGACAATGATCTCAGATTGCATTAACATTTCTGGAATACTTTCCATCTTTCCGGTTTCTGCCAGGAACTTGCTTCGGTGATTCAGAGTTTTTATTTTAAGATTGGACTGTTGTTTAAACTGCATTACAAATCTATGCCTTTTGCTTTCTTGTGTATGTGCACTGCATTCATTAGTATCACAAATCCTTTAATCTTGGACCTGAACAATTATGTTAATTCATAAACTCTTCCAGGTAGGAATTCGTTTTTTGCCATGCACTCAGGTATGCTTTTACAAATTGACTGTAAAACCATCATCCCATCATCAGATGAAATAACAATATTTCCCCCCGACCCCAATGCCAGTGAGAGGGTTCAAGGGCAATATGATCTCAGTAATACTTGAAAATAGCTTGGGGACATTGAGATAACTGGAGAACCTTATCAGTCATTTTCTCATTTTAAAAAAAATCCATGTTCTTGCAATAAAGAACTACTACTACTACTTTCTTATGAATCTAGTCCTTTATATAAGAGATGCTCAGAACTGCCACAAAATGCATCTGGAGGGAGAAAAAAGCCCCAGTGATATTGTTCCATCCTTTAAAAACAAAAAATCCTTGTACTCACTAGGAAAAAAAATGAAACAAAACTTGAAGCATTTTCCCTTTGTAGCCCCTTTTTGCCTAGGTTGATGAACAAGGCATATGAGACACCTATGTATTTCCTCATGTCCGCAATCTTTCTTGCCAGGTTGTCTTACCGCATCAAGGTTCGCATGTTGCTTTAAAGTTAAGGGTAGCGGCAAAGCAGAAAGAAGCCAGATAAGTTGACTGTTACATTAAGTCAATATGCTCTCTGGTCTCCTCCTGCAGCAGCTCAGCAACTTGACGGCTGTTTCACTGGGGCATGTTATAAAACCACTCAATCTTAATATCATGTTTTAAAACATGAGCCAGTTCCCATCCCAGGTGAAACTGAGGGTACTCTTCATGAGAGAAAACCAGGTTCTGAGACCAGCCACTGCAATGCAGAATACCTATTATTCTGCTCAGGCTGTGTCTATGAGTAGACAAGTAGAGCAGGCCAGTCAGAGAAGACTTGTTGAGCAAAACAGTGGGTGCTGAGGACCCAGCGGCCGCACTAAAGTGCCCCATCACTCTCCATACTTAGTTCAGTTATTCAGACTAGTGTACGGCATGCTCCTGCAACAGACAGAATTTAAAGCTGCTATTTAAAAGATGTGTGATTAATCTCACATTTACTTTCATGTTTACAGATATACTCAAGGAAAAGAAAACCCATCCAGAAAACAGAAATGAACCAAAACCAGCTGTGAAAAAGATTGACACCACAACCACCACAAGCACTGTCAAGTCATCCTCTAAACACAGTGTAACTGGAAATGGGAGCAATCCAGCCCCGAGTTCCTCACTTGTTATTTTAACAGCACTAGCAGTTCTGTGGCATTGTCCACTGTAGCTGTATTACCTTGCAGCCATTGTGCAAGTGTTTCTGTTCACTGTCATTTATACCTACAGCCTTACCCAACAAAACAAATTTGAATGGCTCTCTAGTTTATGTGATATGTTAGAATAAATATTAAACGATATGCTGGAGTTGGCAGATACCAAGTGTCATCACTTAAAATGTCTGAAGATAGCCTTTGACAAAGCCCACCCGAGACACGGAGGGAATGATGACAAGGGTCCGAGTAGCTTAAGTTATGGGGCAGAAATAATTGAAAACACACAAATTATGTGTGTGTGTCTTAATCGTTTTCTCAATTTCGTTCACTGGAATCTGACTGGCTGGTTTTGTTTGTTTAATTTTTCTGATAAATTATATGAATGGTCAGTCTTCAAATTCAAGCCCATACATACTTTATTTTTCTAGTGAACAGCTAGCAAGCTATGTCTACAGTTGTAAAACATGTTAAAGTACTCTGTACCAGCTTGATGAAATTCCTAAGTGGTCAAGAAGATCAAAGCATGTTTGCAACTTCTTTTCACTCTTACTGTTTAGATTGTAGGAAGCAATATAAAAGCATATGGTGTGTCTAATATATCAGTATAGTTGCCTTAACTATGGAAAAAATTAGAACCACTTTGTTTACTGAGGGATATAGATAGTGAGTTTCCCTGCCCTACAAAATGCCATTACCAAGATGCTTAAGCATATGCTCAAGGTTTATTGGATGGAATGTCCAGCAATGGGAAACATAAATAAACATAATAATGTTTTATCCAGTTGAATGCAGCTCTGTACAGAGGAAAAAGATAATTTGGTTCAAACTTACTTTGCCTGTGTGATGTTAAAGAGAAACTGACTTAAATTTTCCATAAGGGTCCCAGAGATAAAAATTATTGGGAACTCCCATTAGACACTAACTAGATTTTGTGGATTGTGGATCTCTGAAATCAACTCTGTTTCATAAATTGTGTATTATTTAATTACACTTAATGTTTAAAATTTTGTACCATGGTAGGTGTAAATGTAAACCAATCTGAAATCTAGAACATTCTCTGTTATGCCTCATCTTTATTGCTACCCTAAAAGATGTCAAAATGTGCACTATATTACAAGGCTATTTTTTTTAATCCATGACACATTGATGCATTTTAACTTTTTGGATGAAAAAGTGCTATAATAACTTCTAATGGGTTAAGAGTTAATGTGTGTTTTCCAACAACTGTTTACAGTACCATTGAATATATATGTATATACAAACACAACTGTATGAATACAGTGATTAATATGATATATATATGAAACATTAGAATTGTTACATTTACTACATTTCATAACTATTACAGCAGTTTAATGGCCCTTTTCATGTTTTAGACTATTATTATGTACAGTTTTATAAGATTTAATGTAAAACACTTGCCTTTGGTTTTTTGTAAAACTTCTCTGATATTTACAGTTACACAGTCACTGACATAACTCAAAAGAAGAACCCTGTATCTTACTAATCAACTTCAGGCATTTTATTGGCAACTTTGATTGTAAAAGAGGATGCCAGGATTACTACCGGATGTCATTATATAGAAAATGGGAATAATACTGAACAAGCATACAGTAAGCGAACAAAGACTCTCTACACTTGTATGTTTTCAGATAGTGTTAGTGAACATGGCTAATTATGTTTGCGAAGGTGGGACTTGAGTTTTTTTTTTAATTTGAGCTCTTAGACCATATTTACAGACATAAAGGTATAATAAGAACCATCAACACACCCAGCTGCAAAGGCAGTGTCTCTGAAGTGGCAGCAGCTAAGTTTTCTGAAAGATAATTCAATTTTAATGTTGAAACAAAGAGATAAAATGGAAAAGTTACTTACACTAACATGAAATCTTTTGTATTTGAATTCTGATATTTCATAATGGTAAGGATATTCATATGCCTAAGTAGTGCTTTCCCATCATATCAGTGAAAATCAGTTTTCCCAAAAGTACTAAAATGGCTGTCCTGCGTCTTCCAGGGTTTGTGAGCTGCACCAGTCTATTGAACTCTAATTAAAAATGTCACTTCTTGTATTCATTTTCAGTGCACTTTTACCTGAGAAGGCGTGCAAGTCATGTCATTTGTACAGTGAAAGGACACCGTAATTCCTTGCAGTCTTAAAGGATCAGTTGTGATGGCTGCTGTTAGACAGGTTGGTCTCTGTGCATACACAGAAATGTACATCAGGTGCTAACACCACCAGCTCCTCAGGTAATACCAATCACTGTGGCTTCACTGAAGCAATTCATATCTCTTGCTTGTGAACCTGACCCCTAATTTAGTATTCCCACACTTAGGATGCTCAGTCATCGTTCAGGCAAATGTATCCACATTTGCACACTTAAGTCTCCATCACGATTCCTATGGATAGAGCTAGGGTTTCAGGACTGGGCTCTGACACTACCAGATTTCAGCTGTGCAGTTTGGAGTTTTCAGTTCTTCTCACCTGCAGAGAGGGAACTTGAATACCTAGACTTATGTGTCTTTATGAGGTCTTTTCTGAAAACCGTTTTGTGCTTTTAGCTCAGAGCGGTGATCCAGCTAGCCTAGTATTCAGCTGTAGCAGAGGAAGTTGCAGAAGCCCTGCAGTAGGCGTGTATGGAATAACTCACCCAGGGGATTATTTGTTGTTGCTAACTGTCATAATCTTGCTAAACAAAAACCTCTGAAAAATCATGATTGAATTTTCGGTTTGATTGGCAAATATTTGTATGATGTAGTGTTCATCTCTCAAGCTAAACAAGACATCCCTTTTGAAATTTCTGTAACAGAGCTAGAACGAGTTAAAACTGTGGGGTGAGATAGAATCAACTCATTTCATTGGATTCAACCAATATTTTAATAGACACAAATTGTTACGGAACAAGGGAAGAGACTTCAGAGGACTCCACAGCTATTAATGTATTTCACACTAATATACTTTTACACTGTAAGAAAAGTACTGGTCAAACCAGCATGAAATATGTTCATAATGTGCATCAAAAATGGTGCAGCTTCAAAGGGCAATGCAGTATATTTTTACTGATGGTTTATGATATTTTTTTTTCAGGATCAGTTGCATTTACATTTTTAAAAAGAGTGTTTTCCATCAAACAACAACATAGCAGCAAAGGCAAAAACAACTGCCTGTGTCAGATAAAGGAAGTATTTCTTCTCAGATGAATAAGATACCTATTTTACAAAACCTTATTTTGTTATCCAGGACACTGTAATTATGATGTAATTATGAAGGTCTAAATTCAAAATACTTTTGAACTTGTCTATGTAATCTCAGTGTAAAATAAGGTACCAGTCTAAGTGCATTGCTGTAGCTTTGCCCAACAGTTATGAATTGTGTTTAGCCACTGCTTTTTGAATGTTTATTGTTTTGCTATGACTTTCTTTTGATATTTTGCTGTGCCAGCATTTGTGAATGCCAGCGTTGGAAAGTAACTGCTGTCATACATTTGTAAGTAAAATCCATCTATAATTTTCTCTTGATAGTGATGCAGGCTTCTTACCGAGTAATACAAAATTGCCATGGGCATACAGTCAGTTCTTAGTGTTTCACTGCTATTTGGACTCCATGTTACACCAGGTTCATGTGTCGCTAGCCCCCTTCCTGGCTATGGATGCGTCAGGAAGAAGAGTGAACATGGGTGGACAAAAGCAGGCATGGCCGCAATGTGCCAGTGCATGGCAACCTCCAGCTGCCTTTTCTGAGGCCCTGAGCTGAGTGTTCTCAGCTAATTTTCAAGCAGCTTTTACACCTCTCCAAATCAACGCATGGAGACTGGCCAGGCAAAGAGCAGCAGAGAATCTAGAGACTGTATATTCAGGCAACTTCACAGACACCTGCTATGACTTGCACATTTTTTGCAATTTAGATGCTTTATGGAATCCAGCCTCCCATTTTCACCCTTACACTTTTTTTCTGGCTTGCATATTGCCAGTGTTATGCCCTGTCTTCTAGTGCGCCAGGTACTTTGTCATTGCATAAGGAATTGTGATTCTGATCTTTCACTCAGTAACGAACCTTTTGAGGTACAAATACCTGTCAGAGCTTGATAAGAGCATTACAAATAATAATGTCCGGCTGCATTGACTTCAGAGGCTCTGTGTATGGGTATCTGGCTATGACATTCACATCTTTCTGATCTCTTAAATCAGATCTGTATTTAATATATCCCTGTTTCCATTTGTTACCAAGACTGCAGTCATAATTTTAAATTTGACTCTCTAATCCTGTATGGGTCTTCTCAGTATTGTCCTAATGGATGTTGTGCACAGACTTAATTTTAATGCTAGATGAGCCTTTTGCCCAGATTTACTGAGCCATTCTTATTTAATATTGCACATGATTAGGTTTAAGCAAGATCTGTTCAAGTGAAAAGAGATGAAGCACACATTAAAGCGAGATACTGACTAGGACAAAAATCCAGAAAGTCCCTATGTTCCTGAATTGGACTCTTCACATTAAACAGATTTTGAGGTTTAGCTGAAATTACAGTCAAAATTTCGTAACTAGCATGCTGTCAAGAGGATTTTAGCCTTGCATTGAAAATCGATAAGCAGTCTACCCATTTTTTAAGTGAGAATTAATCTACATGCTTTCCTCATGTCTCCGCACATGGGTGAATTTAGGTCTGTAGAAATAGGAGACATTCCTTAAAACATATCCTGCCCATTGAGCATCACAGCATTATAAGTGCTTAATGTTACAACTAGCCAAAAGCAGGAGACATTTATTTTCATTTATAGCATTTCACTACTCACGGTGCTTCTTGTAATGACATATGGCATGTGTGGTAATGAAAAGTGAAACATCTTACAGTCAATGTCATTATAGCTGTGACACGTGTGAGTCAAAAAGAACATGATAGTCTTCCTCCCGTTGCCTCGAAGTCCAGAATTATTCCCAATACTGACTGAAATCTCTTCTGGTTTCTACTTTCTAACTAACTATATCTGAATTTCATTAAATATTAAGCCACCAA